GGAGTTGCCATGGTACGAGCTTCATAGTACTCTACAAGGGGGCTCCCTTTGGTAAGGGGGAAAATCCAATGTTAGAAATTACGTTCCCCCCCCCCGTAAATAAATACCCAGGCAACGCCAGGTAATCGGCTAATAAACAATAAAACTCAAAAGCCAGAAGATTTTTTAATCAAATAATCCAATGTATTGCATAACTGCCTATCGATGCCGAACTTCATTTCAATCAGCTCCTTGTGTTCTTGTTACATTTTTAGCAGAGACAATGGGCAGCTGATTCTAGCACCAGCGCTTTCTGCCAGAACACGGGGGTCCCCGGAGATCTGCCTGCAGAAGCTGACGGACTGAATGCCGATGAAGAGAAGGAGGACTGCAGAATCGTAGCTGCTGGGCCCAGCAGATAAGTGAACCCACCCAGCAAGCAGCCTTTAAATGCAAATTGAACTGTGTTTAAATCATCTTTATATCTTCATAAATATTTAGGAGGACACAGACATCCTTGTAAATGAAGGACAGGCAGTCCAAGCTTCCAATCCAGAGAAGGCAGAAGGAGATCTGGAGGTGATGAGTAAGAGATTCAGACTGCCCTTTTCTGTTCTGACCTAGACTTCCCAAGAGCATGAAGTGAACTCCTGGTCCCGACAAAAAACTATTTTATTAACTGAAGGCAGCTCATAACTGTCGGATGACTCTGGCCCCCTCTCTGTCTCTGACACAGAGCCCTCATCAGAGCCTTCCCCAGCCTCCAGGACTGGCCCATGTTCCTCTCCAACCTCCTCCCTGTCTGAATCTGCTGCCAGCTCTTCTTGCCGCTGGCGGGCTACAACAGATAGCCAGGAGACAGGTTTTCTGTCAGTTCCTGAATGAAGCCATTCAGGAAAAAGATTCTCCATCCTGATCTTAGCCTATGGTGAAGGGGCAGGAAATGAGTCAGAACTCAGCTGGGAAAAATCCTGAGACACAATGTCACATAGCAAGAAAAGAGAGAGATGCTGTTGGCAGTTATGTTACCGCCACTTTGGCACCAACTCCTCCTCCACAGGATGGTCCATCAGGTAAACCCAATTCATAGTAACTCTCCCTCCCTCCAACGCTCAAGTATGTTTTGGTATCACAGTTGCCAATTCTGAAGCTGGCCTGACAGAGGCAGGTTCAGGGTTGCCACCCTGAGGGATAGGGAGGGTGGAATACAGATTGTTGGGTTTTGTAGCCAAAACAAAACACTTTCTCCTGGGAACCGAGGACATTCCCAAAGGCGCTGGAGAGAGAAGGAGTGATGTCACCAGGCAATAGGACAGGACCCTGATTGGACCATGTGACTGATTGTTTGGGGAAGGAGGAAAAACTTTTTACTTTAAGTAGGTGAAAACCGTGGGAACCTTCATAGTCGGTTTGCACCAGCCTGTGCCAATATGATACATCCAATAAATGTATTCTTTGAGGAACCTGCTTGCATAGGAGTTCTGTTTGCTATGGTGCATTACTTGGAACCCTGACAATGGTACCTTGAGGACAGGCGCGACAGTGCTCTGTTGAGAACCTCAGGGGTATCATCGGCCGAAGAGGGCGGGGCGGCTTCCGATTTATTCTCGCTATCCGATGCAGTTTCTCCTCCATCAAGCTTGTTTTCCAGCTCTGATTCCTGCAAAGTAAGACACGTGAGGGGTTTCCAGCAAGTTGGGATGGGAACGCAGAAGTAATTCAAGGTTGCCTGCCATTCATGCACTCAAACCTGCCTCAATCCATCTCTGAACAAACAGCTAAGCTGGACCCTACCTTCACCCACAATGTTTAGCTGCAGCTTCTCAACGGGGTTTGATGACCGAGTCAATGCTTTCACAGCCTTCGAAAACTACTCTATTGAAAATGTCATGCAACTGGCAGAAGACAAGGAGAATCCGCCAAAATCAAGCAGATAAAGTGAATTAGGGCTTTAGAAGAACATCTGTTAATCGACCCAACAAAACTAGTCATAAGCCCCAAGATTTTGTGGAGGGTTGTGAGCTGAAAGAACGCAAATATAGCAATAGCCCTCAGGCTGATATACTGCTTCCCTATGCTTCCCAGCCCTCTCTAAGCGCTTTACAGAGTCAGCCTCTTGCCCCCAACAATCTGGGTCCTCATTTGACTGACCTTGGAAGGACAGAAGGCTGAGCCTGGTGAGGTTTGAACTGCCAAATTGCTGGCAGCTGGCAGAGGTAGCCTGCAATACTGCACACTAACCATTGCACCACCACGGTTCTTGGTATATAACTTGAGTAGGAGAATTTGAAAAGAGTTTGCGGGTGGGAGTGAGGCGGGTGGGGGGAATGGAATTTAAAAGGTGTTTTTTTCGCATAGTTGATTCTTCTGCCAAGTGTTTAAAGTAGCCAAGTCACTAACTTATCAACTGCAGTGATTCACTTAACAACTGTGGCAAGATATATCGCAAAATGGGGCAAAACTCACTTCTGCCCACAAGGCAACGTAGATAGGATGACACTAAAAATTGTAAGTAAAAACCTATTTGTTCATAGACTCATTAGCTTGCTGGAATTTTTACAAAAGAGCAGTAAATAAAAAGAAAAATAGGGACCAAAAAATGGGTCAGGGATAAATTGTTCAAAGGCCAAGGAGAACATTTTCATCCCTGAGAGGTGGGCTGGGTGCAAAGCATAAGCGTTCTAGCCAATTTTTTTTTAAAAAAAAAACATGATTGCAAATAAATCCCAGTGTTTGTATTGCTTTTATGTAATCGTAATTGTAGTTTCATTTTGATTTTCCAATTCTGATTGCACTTGGCCCGGATAAGGCCACATCATAAATAATTTTTGTTTTGTTTTGCTTGTTTACCATATAAACACACAATCATAAATGTCGCATTTTGATTTATTCACATTTTTTCATTCATTTGCCATCAGAGCTCAGCCTTAAATATTTCTTAAAACATAGATGCAGTGGAAGAAAAGAAAAATAATAAGTAGATAGATGGCAAGGAGAGTTTGGGCAGGAACTTTCTGCAGACAGAAAGCTTTGTTTGTGCAGCTTATTTACTTTGCATGGGCTGATGAGGTCTGACTAGAACTGGACTCAGAGGGGATGAAAGTTCAGAGTATCTTCTGACCGGATGTATCCTTGCAGCACTGATAATTATAGAGGAATGGGCTTCATGTGGACAGGGGAGAAGGAAATCATATAAGCAATCCAGAAATCAAAACGCCAGCTAAGCGGCCCTCC